GCGTATATTAGTGGTTAGAAAAAAAAAAAAACATCATGTCAATAATCGCAAAAGTAAATTATATCTACTCGTCCCTTTTAAGATCACAGGTTCAAATTTTCCTACCTTAGATTTGTTGTATTAAAAGAGACGAAAACTCATAATTATCAAATATATATTGTGACTATTTAATTTCTTACTTGGCAAAATTCTAGCCCATGAGATTGAGAATCTGTAAGCATCAAAGCCTGTTTGGTTCATAATCGCAACGTCTTCCTACATTTAAACGAAAAACTAATCAAAATTTCTCAAAGAAATTGAACTTAGCTGGATGATTAGAACATCTGCCTCTTGTTTTAAAATTGAAGATTCAAATTCTTACTCCTATATTTATGCTATATTTAAAAAAAGAACAATATTTTGGGCTAGGTGCAAAATTAGCAAATCATATTGGCCCGTAAAAATAATTGCAAAAATAACAAAAGTACTTGCGTCAAGCCTGATAATATACTATATACTAGTATCATGGATTCACCAGAATCCTTAATTCAGTAACTCAAGGGCTTATTTGAAAATGATTTTATGTAATAAGTGATTTTAGCGAAAGAAATTTAAATGATAATTGAATTCTATGAAAGTTATTTTTATATAGTTATTTCAAGGCTTAGTTACACACTTTTTCAAGTGGTTTTCAATGATTAGTATTTAAAGTTTAAAGAGATAATTTAATCAAAGTTTGAAAGAGAGAAAAGTTAGAGAGAAAAAAAAATGTTAGAAAGAGAAATAAACTTAGAAAATAGATGGGAACTAAAAATTTAGAGAGAGATTAAAAAAATTTTACAGAAAAAATTTGGAGAGAATAAATAAAATGAAAATGAGATAAAATAGAAAGGCAAATTTGAAATTTAAAACCGACTCAAACTAGTTCAATAACTTATAAAATCTATAATTAATTCTCACTAATATTATTATTATCTCATTATTGTATGCAACATCCAAAGGCATCATTTATTATTCCAATCTTTAAAATAAACATGACACCAAACATTGTTTTTAGTATAACATAAATTCTTTAACTACCTCTGGATTAACTAAGTCATAATTGAGACATATTTTTTAATCCAATCTACAAATTAATTAAATGCTTCATCCTCTTATGATTTATCAATAATATCGCACTCACCTTGTAGCGGTGGTATGAATCAACGGCTATATCTCCGTTACTGCGATCGACAATTCTCTCTACAATTTAACAAATAAAATCGGATTACTTTTTATTTTTTCATCTACCACGACCATTATAGCATAATTATTCAAACACAATAGAGAGAGAGAGAATTTAGAGACCTGGGTATTGATGAGTATAGTTATCCCAAATATTTGGTCCTTTCCCTTGCTCAAAAGCAGCACCTTCATACTTTAAAAAACAACAAAACAATGTCAAAGCCAAAGCCAAAGTTCATTCACTGATCTTTACTTTGTTTCGAATTTGGGTTTATAAAACGAACATTATGGACTTTTCCCCACCTGATAAGACGAAGATGCTGGACCAAAAACGAAGCCTTTCGGGAAGCTTTTTCGCTTGATAGTGTTAATCGATTTGCTTGGTGTGTTGGGGGCAGCCTCTGCCTCTGCAACTACAAAGACAAGAAGAAGCACCAAGCTAAAAAAGAAGACAACATTACAATATTTGGAAGCCATCACAATTTGGGGTTTTGTTTGGGTACTCAAACTTGCACTCCCAAGCTGGCATTATATAGAGATAGATAAGAAGGAAGGAACTACCTCAGGGCCAACGTGCGTTATTGGACTTCAAATCTCAACCATTATTATATTATACTGCAGAGATAAACTAGCTAGCTTACCAATTGCAACTGACGTGGGATTCGAACCGAGGAAGGAGATATACCTATTCGGCCACAAGCCATACACCTTCATCCGCCAGTGGTAATTGTTTTGTGATATTCTGTAACATGTCTTTGTTGATTATAATTTTTTTAGAAGGGTGCCTTTGATTAATGATCTGAAAACAGACGTATTAAAGTAGAGTTGTATTCTATGTTTTCATATTTGTATTGAGTAGCAGATTTTAACATTGAATCTCAATTTAAAAAAATGTTAAAGATGTTTTGTAATATATTTGTATACCATTGTGGGATACCAACTAAATATTTAGTTCAATATAAAATATTGTTAATTAATTTATTAACATAAAATGTTAAAATTTTTACAATTATTATTTTAGAATATAATATAATATATAATATATTAAATTTTACATGTTTATTCTTAATGAACAAGTTTCATATTCTTCAAGGACTTTCATTGTTTAAAAAAAAAAAGGAAGAGTGGGTTTCCTTTTCTTCTACCGCACCAAAGAACGTACAACAACTTTAAATATATTTAAAGTAGGTCCACTAGAACGTGGGAAATTCAAAAGGATGACAATTATCTTATTCGATCATGAACAAGGGTCTAAAAAAGATTCCATCTTCGAGGGAGAGAGTGGAACACATATATAACCTTCTTGGCCTATAATATTTACAAGAATAAGATTAGGTTTATACATGAAATAACATATTTATCAAATTTTTATCTTTTCAAATATAATTCTACAATTTCAGGTAGTTTCAGATTCAAAATTCAAAATTTATACTATTTGGATCACATAATTTAAAAACAGATCAACCAAATACATATTCACTGAATTCTGCAATCAAAACAAACCTTAAAATTTTCAGAGGGGAGGATCAATTTTCTTCATAAGGTAGGCCATGTAATTCTCTGTCTTGTTGTGATTTGAAAGTTATTGAGAAAAGCAAAAGGTGAAGTGAAGGATAAATTCTAAGCGACACGCGTCCCCGCTCTACAGGGTCATGGATTCTACGTTATCTATAATTAGCTTTCTAAGGAGAAAAAAAAAGTAAATAAAAAAGATAATAAATAAATAATTTTGAGCATTGTCTTTTTTTCTTAATAAAAATATATATACATATTTATTTGATGGGAATTATATGGTCCACGGTGGCCTCACCAAATTGCTTAAAGCATATCGATGGCCCCTCTCTTTTTCTTATCCCAAAAAAGTAAAAGTAAAAATAAATGATTTATTCTCGTTATAGGAATTAAATTAGTAATCTAACATTTATTCCTTTTAAAAAATAAATGGAGAAATAAATGTTGGTACGAATTAATAATGTGGATTAAGATTTAAAAGAATGTTAAAATACTATCTTGATCATGTAGTTTCAGTATTGTTTCCATTTTAATTTTGTGCTTTCAAAATATTTATTTTGGTCATTGTATCTTTTAACTTTAGTTCATTTCAGTCTATGTACTTTGAAAATATTCATTTTTGTTCATTTACTTAAAAGGTATCATTTTAATCCCTCTTTACAATTTTTTAACATAAATTTTACCTAATGGAAATTTTTTAGTATAAAGTAATATTTACATTTTAAGAAATGTTGATTGTACCGAAATGAACACTTTTAAAGTACAGATCCCAAAATGAACCAAAGTTGAAATTATAGGGACCAAAGTATTATGTTAACCTAAATTATTTATTATGGGATTAAATTAGTAATTTAACATTAATTCCTCTTAAAAAATAAATGGAGAAATTTATACGTGGGAATGGTTGGTACGAATTAATAATATGGATAAAGATTTGGTGGAGAAATTGAAGTTATCAGAAACTTTTTATTTTTTTATTTTAATTTTTTTAGGTTTCATATTTCTTGAATTAACAATATGGTCCATTCATATTTCTTGATCAAAGTGTCCAAAAACATCATAGTCACAATCGCCAGCCTCTAACCCCTTTTTTTAATAGCCCAAAAATCTCATGAATCCCGATTTTCATTGCATCTCAAATGAATAATTAACAATAATAATAATTAACACTTTGTAATATATTTATTAAGTTTTTTTTTCTTCCTATGATGCATGACGAAACTTACCTTTCCATAAGGTAAAAATAAATCTTTGAATTTCGAAAAAAATAAACTTTTCACAATCTCTATCTGGCCTCGTGAGCATAGAAGATCGAAAAATTGATCCGATCTGTTTGGGGGTTGAAAATCGTATTGCCACGTGGAAGACAGAAAAAAGTCCAACTTTGGAGGTCTTCTCTTTGTTGGCCGACCTGAAGTGGTCGACCTAAAGATCTTCCTTTTGGGCAGACCTAAACTGGCCGACCTAAAGAGCTCCACTAAGGGCCGACCTGAAGAGCTCCACTGAGGGCCGGCCTGAAGAGCTCCCCTAAGGGCCGGCCTGAAGGCCTTGCCTGATGGTCGACCTGAAGAGCTCCCCTGAGGGCCGACCTGAAGGTCTTGCCTAATGGCCGACTTGAAGGTCTTGCCTAATGGCCGACCTGAGGCCTTCCTAAAGGCCGATCTGAAGGTCTTTCCTGAAAATCATTCAAGGGAGGAACGACCTTCCATACTTAGTCAAATTCCAGATGATAGAGTATGAACTGGAATAGCTACTCCCGACAGGCCAACCTTAGTCCTGACATGCTCAACCGCTGTTCGGATTCCTTGTCAGGTACTTCAGCCGATAAATAGGGCACTTCACTCTTCAGTCAGGTATGGTATTCTAGCTCGGCCTTCATACTAAGATCGAACTCAAAACTGACTTGAGCGTCGGAGTGTTTGTTCCCTTGTGTAGGTCTTACCTCGCCAAGTGGTATTTCAGCTCATTCTTGACACTTTAGCTCATCCCAGTCAGCCGACCTTGACCCTTTGAGCTGGTCATCCCTTTCCAAGAATATCCAAGCTCTTCATGCGGTCATACCTGGAGCAGGTCATGCTCTTCCCGCGGTCATACCTGAAAAGCAGGTCATGCTCTCTCGACGGTTATACCTGGAGTAGGTCGAGCTCTTCCCTATGGCCGACCTTGACCAGGTCATATCCCGTCACATTTTTTACATAAACATTTGGCACCATTTGTGGGGAAGGACATTTTAAGTCATTTCTACCAAACAAAGTTGTATGCACGAAACAATTCAATATCTGCATCTCAACTGGGATCTCCGAGATGTTCTCAAGGACCGAGCTAGGCGATCAACGTGTAAACGATGGTAGCTCAACATCGCCAAGAGGAAGAGTTTTACTCAACTCATTCCTGCCTAGAGGAAGAGCTCCATTTCAGCTCATCCCCGCCAAGAGGAAGAGCTTCATTTCAGCTCATTCCCGCCTAGAGGAAGAGCTTCATCTCAGCTCATCCCCGGCAAGAGGAAGAGCTGCCATCATCATAACTCAACCTTGCCA